GCACCTACAATGAATATTTATATTACTTTCACCACAAAGAAAGCAAAAACAAAAACAAAAACAAAAAGAAAACCAAAAAAAGGTAAGAGTTAATTATAGATAATACTAAGTTTAGTAATATATGAAATTAGCACTGCTTTAATCTAGTTTAATATTTGTAAGTATTGCCATGTAAGTGTGTAAATTCGCTATTTGTTTGTTTTCTTGTTTTTTTTTGTTTTCTTGTTTTTTTTGTTTTCTTTTTATTACTTTATTTATTCTGTTTTTTTTTCTTTTTTGTATGTCTTTTACTTGCAATAAGAAAATTAGGTATATGTTATTTTGTTTGAAGACAAATTCAGGTATTCGGTATCAAAGATTTTACACTTTTAAGGTATATTGGTATCCCATCATCCCCTTGGCCGGGCTTAAAATCTTTAAAAAGAGTTTTCATTTGAAGATGTAAAAATTATATCTTTGAGGTAGTGGCTTTGACGGTTGGCGGTTATTTGTTTTAAAATCGCTTTAAGACGAAGTTCATTAACTCGGGAAAATAAAACCAAATTCAAAACCTACAACGTTTACAGCAAAGACTCAGTTTTCAAGGTAAGGGTTCCGGCTTTAGGGTTTATTCAAAGTAACACGGCTCCATATCCAGTTGACAATTACCCAAATGCTGTATCAATATTACTCGTAAGCACTATAAGCTTTGTGCAGACACATCATGAAAGAAAATGCTAACAGAATTAAAATAGAATTTTATTTATTTAGCCCGGCAATGATGGCAAATTACTAATATGGACTACTCACTCCTTCACGCAGGACGGTGATGATGGTGAAGTGTGTTCGTCGAAGGATCCAGAGCCAGTTGCATAAAAGCAGCTACGACAAGAAACATTGGAGTAATATAAAACGTCAACGCTTAAACTTTACAAGCTAAGTAACTTAAACAAACGGCGTTCTAAACAGCATATTTATGAGTCCTATCGATGATTATAAAAGGCCACAGACAACCGCCTAATTAGAGGAAATAATTAAAAGAACAATACGGCTTGACCCTGGGTAATTGGCGCATAATTGTTAACAGATATTGATTGTTTTTCTAATCTCGGTGCCGTTTTCTTTAAAGCTACCTTGACAACGCTAGATATTTGCCAACGCGTAGCTTTATTCTTAAGTGGAAAACTAATATCATAAACCACAGGTAATATGGTCTACTGAAGCCTCTATAAATCGCTTACTTCTTTCGAAGCCCTGGCCTTGTCAGTAATTGTTGAAGTGGCTTCTTTGGATTCACTGAGCAGAGAGGTTTTCAATAGTTTTACAGGGTTACGGTAACAGGATGGCATTCAAAAAGCACATTTTTCTTTGTCTTGTGGTTCTTCTTAGTACAATCCACGCCAAGCCTTTGTCATCGTATCATGGTAAGAATCCAAATTTACAAACATATAACTGTCCGATCGTTATTTTCCTGTTTTTGTTTAGAATTGATTTTATGTTCAGAACCGCCGAGTCAATTAAGTGCCCAACTTCAAAATTAACAAAGGGGTTTGGTGTCACCTCATAAAACGTTAGAAAACAAACAATAATACAGGGTGTTTTTGTATGTAATACCGGTTAAGGAGAGAGAGGTTTGATTAATAAGAGTTAACTTTAAAGAATCCATTCAATGCTTGCAGTTAAAGTTGATTAAGTTATGTTTGATCATACAGAAGAACAGTTCTAGCAAACTTTTTTGTATAAAGTTTCGTGAAAAGTGTTAGACTAAAGATACAAACGCGTTGTAACTGAATAACAATACCACAAAAAAAAGATAAGAAAAGAAAAGAAAACGAAAGAAAAATGCCTACTGATAGTTCGACAGTTCAATATTTGGTGTGAAAACATATTTCCATGTTATATTGCTTGTAGAACATAGGCGTGCCGGCTTTTAAAAATTGCAATCCCAAGTGAACGACATTTCAGGAAAATTTGTCGTTCCCTGTCACGTAATTCGCTGTTAGAAGAGATTACCAGTGAAAAAACTTTTGACGAGTACTAAGTAAGTTATTTTGCTATGCTACATAACACTTTGCTTCCCTAGACCTTATTTAATTGTCTGTCGCCGTGGTACTGGAAACGCATGATAGACGGTTCTAGTTGAATTTCTCTTAAAGATGCGCCTGCTCAAATATTTATGGGTCCTTTGACTAACCTTTTCTTTTCTTTTCTTTTTTCCCTTCAAATTTTCTATTTTACTGTACATCATAAACACAAGGTATGACCTGCCACTTACCCCCACCCACGGCTCCCCTTCAAAATCCCTCTTTCACACCCACCATTTTCCTTTTCTATCACTGAGCAGTTTTCCTCGGTATCCACGTTTTACCGAAAATGATAAATCAATGAGTAAAAAGCAGGAGGGTGATTTTACCGCAGCAAAATAGCCGCTTGATTCTTATAATTCTAAAAATGTAGAATATATTTGATTACTACTAGAGAAAAAGGTATGCTTTTAACCCCTTCCCTCCTCCCCAGCTTCCTTATGATTTATTAAGGACAATTTCAATAAATGTTGCTTTATACACGCCATTGCGTTTGAGGAATCTTAGGCTCTCGCCTGATGCACATCATGTTTCTCGGATAAGGCTTGGTCTTTTGGCCTCGAACGTCACCCCTATAGTGAAAAAGATTTCTTTGCTATATGCATGTCGCTTCAATATCATCATGAAATATTAATATTACACCAACTTATGGTTGTTTTCAAAAACACCGTTTCAGGCCAACATGTAGTCATTGGACGATATGAGTACTACTTTCTTCCTTTATTTCTGAAACCCTTGTCGACACTGAAGTTGAGGTATTGAGTTCGCTGTATATTGCGCCCAGTCGCCAAAGTTTTTTTTTTTTTTAACCATTAATATAAATTTTTTTAAGCAGATTAAGATATTAAGAATCAGAACGACCCACTACTAATTGAGACATCATTTTTAGTTAAAGAATTACGAATTAAGAATTACGTAAGTTGTTATAACATGTGAGTACTGTAGTTTTCGGTTTTTATTTGACATCGATCCCGACATTGTCCAAGGTCTCTGGTTACAGCCATGGCCAGAGTTTGATCGATCTGTGGTGCTACTGCCGCACCCATTTACTGGGTCGATCAAATATCCTGAATTAACGTGCAATTCTGAATTCTACCGTTTTAGATCAACCGACTTCACTCGATGTATCTTTGCTAATATAACACCCTTGCGCTTAATTTGTGGCTTAATTAGCCTTCCTTGTAGACGTCTGGGTTATTTTTCTTGTGGATTTTTTTTTTTGGCCAGAAACGCGCGAACAAGAAATTATATATTACTCACGCGGCAAAAGGCTTTGTTTTCGTTATATTACTACCTCGCGAATTTTTGACGACAGCACACAAACAAGAAAGTATTAAGGACCAGAGCTGGTCCTTCAGTCACTCGTGACAAAGATAGATGAACCGAAATTCCGCCTTTACAGTGTATTTCAATATCATCTGAGAGCAAAAAGTTCGCATTTCATCTCTGATCTTGTGCTGTAACTACCATTGATTGAACAATGCATTACCTAAATATAACACTAGCATTTTCTCTGCAATATAATAAAACTAACCTAAATGTATAAGAAGCGATAAACATGTTTAAATACAAAATTGCAGCTACTGCTAGATGAATCATCGTCGCTCTTTGGTCGAAAGTCTTGTTTGCTAAAAAGAAGCCGATGGCCAAGTTTTTGGTCGCCCCCACACTCTAAGCGGCACAATGTAGGAAACTAAGACATGTTCAACTACCTTTCCTTTTCTTTTCTAATACCCTAAGAACCATAAGATCAAAATTTGAATTCTCATTTCTTGCCCCTTTTCATTTCCGACAGAAAAAGTTGGGAGAAGTTGATAAAATGTCAAGGAAAATCATATTGTGTGATCATGTTCGCAATTCTCATGACCACTCTGTTTTACAATTCACTGATATTACGAGGAGAAATTTGATGCTGATCACTCTTAAGGCTTAAAGGGTTAATGTAGTAATATTTACCCTTACAATGGAACTAAGAAAAAAAATAAATGAGGTGCAGTGAAATGAAAACTGTTTTGTTTGCTGACTTGATATACCTCCAATTTAATTCAGCACACTTTATTTCCCTGCGATGTGTTTTAACGAACTGAGAAATTAGAGTTTCAGGAGTCTCCATGCTGTATATATATATCGTATTATAATTACGAGTAGTTTTATAGACTAATGGAACTGGATTAAATTTTCAACATTTATTGCTACTCAGAGTTTCATACCTCTTGGGAAGATTTAATCCAGTTCCATCAGTCTACGTGTATTCTGCTCTAGTTCAACTATTGCGCAGTCTTATAGTATATTACACAGGGGTTGTTGACGTATCATAAATCGAACGAGTGAGCGCAGTGAACGAGTGAGATATCTGATACATAATCGACGGGTGCCTTAATACCGTACAAAGCACTTTCCATTTGGTACTATGTTTATTATATACACATACTGCAGGCGCGGATCCACACCTGTTTCCAAGTACCGTTTTACAGAAATCGGTCACATTTTTCACATAAAAAAATATATTTTTAAAAGTAGGTTGACTTTAATCGTCCGGGTGTTTTTTAATCGTAAAAAAAAATTTCCAAGTTGATGTCTTGCTCCATTTTCAACAAACAAAATGGAAACTAACCTTGATGAAATAATTCGCCGATTTGCAAGGCTTAGTAAGTAAATAAGTAAGTAAGAGACTTTATTTTATGAGGGTGATACATAACAGTAACTGAACATTACTGATCAACTTGTGGCCCTCTAAAAATATAAAAATACAATTTATAAAAACTACATCAGCAATAAATTATCATTTACGATAAAAAAATTTGTAGAATTCGATAAGAATAAAAATCAAAAACTGTTAAAAACGAAGAGCATCCAATATCTATCTATTGTCATTAATTTAGGTCAAACGATCCCTATGACTTCTGAGAATTTAAAACTATTTTCCATAATTCAGCCTTAAAGGATTTCAGACTTCTTTGTTTTTAGTGATCGGGGTAGATTGTTCCAGTCCTTTACAGTTCTTACAGCAAAAGCGCGTCCTCCCTCCGAGATGTTCCTGTGATGAGGGCATAATAAGTTCGCATTACAATTTCTCGTGTTTCTTGAGTGAACATCGGAGTTTTTTCTTAGAGATGCGCTTAAATAGTCGGGTAACTGACTACCATTTATCCTTTTAAAGGCCAGTTCACAACGTTTAATATGCGCTTCATTATAAAAGGGGATCCAGCTTAGGTTGCTAAGTAATGTTACTGTTCGACTTGTGCGTTGTGCTTCAAGAATAATACGTGCGGCCCGTTTCTGCATACGGAGAATTCTCTCAAGTACCTCTTTGTTGTACGAAGTCCATACTGTGCTTGGATACATCATAAGAGGTTTAATTACTGCGTTAAAATAGATTATCCTCTGGTTTTTCTTTAAGTAGGGGCTAATATGGCATAAAAGGCCGAGTCACTTCTAACGTTTGCTGCAGAGTTTATCGACATGCACTTCGTAAGTTAGATCTTCATCAGTGATCATACCAAGAAGTTTATGGTTTGCGACTTGTTCAATTTCTGCGTTATCCGTTTTTACTCCCAGTTTTCCTGTATGTTGGACCATGCGCTTTCGTAGGCGTTTCCCCGTTACCAACAAAGCTTTAGTTTTTTGCATTTTCATATACATTTTGTTCTCTCTAGCCCATCTCTCTACTTCACTTAAGTCCTGTGACAAAGATTGATTTAGTAATGGCAGGGTTTTCCAGTTTGAACTCAACGATAAGGTGGTGTCATCTGCATAAATGTCCATAGTTGACTTTTGGACGTGGAGGGGCATATCGTTGACGAACAAAAGGAAGAGCACCGGACCTAGGATTGACCCTTGGAGCACACTTTGCTTTACCGTCAACTGTTTAGACCTACTTTTCCCCGACGAAATAAACTGCTTCCTCTCAAACAAGTAGGATTTGAACCAGGCAACAGAAGAAGGGGTAGCACCGTAGATAGACAACTGTTTTAGAAGAGGTTCATGATCAATCACATCAAAAGCTTTTCGGAAATCTATAAAAACCAGACCGGTCACTTCGTCATTGTCCATGTTTCTAAGAAACTGATCCGTGAGTCTGATCAAGGCTGTTTCAGTTGAGTGTCCTGACCTAAAGGCTGATTGCAGCTCGTATAATAAGTTATTGTTACGTAAGAAAGCAGGTAGAGAGCTGGCCACATGCTTTTCGAAATTTTGGAAAGGATAGGTAAAACCGATATGGGGCGAAAATTGTTGATATCATTTCGTGCTTCACATTTGTACAGTGGTGTGAATTTAGCTATTTTTCAGTGGTTAGGAAAACTGTTTGTCGACATTTAAAGATGAAGTAATTTGCATAAAAGATTTGCAGTACACGTACGCTTAGGCCATCGTAACCAGAGGCCTTGTTAGTAGAGATTTTATCTATAAGGGCAAAGGGTTGCTTAATCGTTAATAGAGGAATGTTGTAAACCGTATCTACGTTTAATGTTGAGTGAACAAAGTTTTTCAGCTTTGTGTTTTCAAAATCTACGCCAGCATCGTTGTTGTTACCAATTTGTTCTAGGATGTTAACAAAGTACTCGTTTAGCTCGTTTGCAAAGACGGCTTCGTCGCTGACAATTTCATTTTCTGTAGTTATTTCGTTGATACGAACTCGAGGTTTACTTGTCCAGCTTAACAATTTCAAAGCTTTCCAGAAACCTTTCGGGTTTCCTTTGTTCTCGTCGACTTTTTCACGAAAAAAACTTCTCTTTGCTTTTCTAAGAAGATTTGTTGTTTGGCCTTCGCATGCGTGAATGGTGACCAATCCTCAGGCAAATTCGAACTCCGCGCCTTTTTAACAATTTGTCCCTTGTTTTCTTAGAATGAAGGATCTCCTTTGTCCCAGGTTGGTTGGGTCTCTTGACACGTTTGGATTTAAGTGGAATGTGTCGGTCTAGAACATCATTAAGCATTGTTTCTATTAAACTCAAAATATCATTATATGATCGAAAACAAAGGCAGCATCCCATTGGGTATATTGCAGATCTTGTAGTAATTCATCAGTATTCAAGTTCTTTCAGTCACGACATTCAATGGTACTGTGAATTTCATTTTTCTGCTTTCTAGAATATTTTCGTGTAATAAATACTAGTAGATGGTCCGAAAGACAGATGTTTGGTACAGAAACATCAGCAATGAAACCTGGGTGTGTTTTTATAGATGTGGTCGAGACATGTAGAGCTCACAGGACGTGTAACTTCATTTACGAGTTGACTCAGATTTAAGCTTCTCAGGGCTTTCGCTAATCGATGTTTTTATATGCAGGGTCGAAGAAGTTCATGTTAAAGTGTCCAAAAACATGTAATTCTTGGTTCCTTAAACACGCTGCTTCGATGTTAAGCTCTAGTCTGGCATCCGTGTCCGCAGTTGATGAAGGCGAACGGTAAACAGCTCCCGTGAGTATCGGACGATTTGACTTGTACGGATGGATTTGTAACCAAACGGTTTCAAGTTCGTTTTCTTCCAGGCTTGTGATTCTTTCGACCTTAAGTCTGTCAGCGACATAAGCAAGAATTCCACCGCCTTTCTTCGATCCTTGTCGGTCTTTTCTGAAAAGCGTGTATCCAGGTATTTGTAGAACGCAGTCAGGCTTGTTTGGCTTGAGGAAGGTTTCGATTAGAAAAAGCACATCAATTTCATGTTAATTCGCAGTTTGTAGTAACCTTATTTGCTCCAGCTTAGAGTCCGTTAAATTATTTACGTTCCACTGGCCTAGTTTACGACCATTTCCTGGTATAGATATCCGAGGGCACAGTTCGTTTATCTTGTACTTCTTGTTGCCCCTTGGACCGGGATTTGGGTTAACATCCCAAGCCTTAAAAATTTCAAGCTCCAAGATAAGAGGATTGAAAGTTGACACACCATTTTTGGTGTATTTCATCACTGAGTGAAGAAATTTACTTTTGAAATTCGTCGGTGGAAGTACTGAGATTGACTTCAGTCCTAAAATGGCGGCGTTCATTTGGCATTGCTGCTGATATTTTGCTTAAATGTAAGTGTGGTTGCTTTCAAAGGAACTGTGGTCATCGTCGTAATGGCTACTTGTTATCAGTAACACTAGGACTTCAAAAATGAGTAGTAGTACGCAAAGACTGAGCCCGTTCACGAAGTGAAACGCCATGGGGAGTCCAATATCCTGTTCCAGGCGTTCAGAACCCGAGGAGAATGAAACTAACCAATATCCTGTCTGAATGACTCAGAAACCCAGGAAAGGGGACTTTAGGGAGTTCAAATCCAAAATATTTCCCGGTGGCGCCCACCCCGGACCGCCCCCCTTTCCCCAGGACGCTTGCACCTTCAGGCTCTCATTTAGAAAATCGGTCAGTATTTATCCCAGATCCGCGCCTGTATTGAGAACTTCATCACTTTGCCAGCCTTTTGTTTCAAACCCTTTCAAAATGCTAAAATTTGCTGCTACACCTTAATACCGAGAAATGACGAGTAATGGAGACTTTTGGTAAAAATTATAATGCGGGTAAGGATCACGCCAGGGATGGTAATTCATGTTAACTGTTCGTTCTGAATTTACAATTAAAGATGAATAAATCTGAATAAAATGACCGGTTTGTGTATAAACAGAAGACAAAAAGAAAAAGGTCCTATAACAAGTGCAACTTAAGTTTACGTGTCGTTTTGTTTCTTCCCCCTTCCGATGTTGTTTTGATTTGCCGGCTCTCTAAAATTTTCTTCATCAAGCGTGAAATATAGTACGAAACTGTTCCACTCCAATTTCCGTGAAATTTTGGAACTTTTTAGTGAGAATAACTTCGAGAAAAACCCCTCTTTGTAGTTGAATGTCTGCAAAGCAACTAGCAAAACCGAGGGCGCTGCAAGCTACAAGCGCCTAAGAAGGCGGGAAATTTGGCGCGAAACTCACACTCCCCTATGGCTTTTGATTGGACGTATAATTTTTCTCACACGTAAAAAGAAATATATGCAAAAAATTAAAATGAACATCTTTCCCTATTACTTATGGAATCCGGAATCCTGAGCTTGGGAATNAATGAAACCTGGGTGTGTTTTTATAGATGTGGTCGAGACATGTAGAGCTCACAGGACGTGTAACTTCATTTACGAGTTGACTCAGATTTAAGCTTCTCAGGGCTTTCGCTAATCGATGTTTTTATATGCAGTGTCGAAGAAGTTCATGTTAAAGTGTCCAAAAACATGTAATTCTTGGTTCCTTAAACACGCTGCTTCGATGTTAAGCTCTAGTCTGGCATCCGTGTCCGCAGTTGATGAAGGCGAACGGTAAACAGCTCCTGTGAGTATCGGACGATTTGACTTGTACGGATGGATTTGTAACCAAACGGTTTCAAGTTCGTTTTCTTCCGGGCTTGTGATTCTTTCGACCTTAAGTCTGTCAGCGACATAAGCAAGAATTCCACCGCCTTTCTTCGATCCTTGTCGGTCTTTTCTGAAAAGCGTGTATCCAGGTATTTGTAGAACGCAGTCAGGCTTGTTTGGCTTGAGAAAGGTTTCGATTAGAAAAAGCACATCAATTCATGTTGATTCGCAGTTAGTAGTAACCTTATTTGCTCCAGCTTGGAGTCCGTTAAATTATTTACGTTCCACTGGCCTAGTTTACGACCATTTCCTGGTATAGATATCCGAGGGCACAGTTCGTTTATCTTGTACTTCTTGTTGCCCCTTGGACCGGGATTTGGGTTAACATCCCGAGCCTTAAAAATTTCAAGCTCCAAGATAAGAGGATTGAAAGTTGACACACCATTTTTGGTGTATTTCATCACTGAGTGAAGAAATTTACTTTTGAAATTCGTCGGTGGAAGTACTGAGATTGACTTCAGTCCTAAAATGGCGGCGTTCATTTGGCATTGCTGCTGATATTTTGCTTAAATGTAAGTGTGGTTGCTTTCAAAGGAACTGTGGTCATCGTCGTAATGGCTACTTGTTATCAGTAACACTAGGACTTCAAAAATGAGTAGTAGTACGCAAAGACTGAGCCCGTTCACGAAGTGAAACGCCATGGGGAGTCCAATATCCTGTTCCAGGCGTTCAGAACCCGAGGAGAATGAAACTAACCATTATCCTGTCTGAATGACTCAGAAACCCAGGAAAGGGGACTTTAGGGAGTTCATCCAAAATATTTCCCGGTGGCGCCCACCCCGGACCGCCCCCCTTTCCCCAGGACGCTTGCACCTTCGGGCTCTCATTTAGAAAATCGGTCAGTATTTATCCCAGATCCGCGCCTGTACTGAGAACTTCATCACTTTGCCAGCCTTTTGTTTCAAACCCTTTCAAAATGCTAAAATTTGCTGCTACACCTTAATACCGAGAAATGACGAGTAATGGAGACTTTTGGTAAAAATTATAATGCGGGTAAGGATCACGCCAGGGATGGTAATTCATGTTAAGTGTTCGTTCTGAATTTACAATTAAAGATGAATAAATCTGAATAAAATGACCGGTTTGTGTATAAACAGAAGACAAAAAGAAAAAGGTCCTATAACAAGTGCAACTTAAGTTTACGTGTCGTTTTGTTTCTTCCCCCTTCCGATGTTGTTTTGATTTGCCGGCTCTCTAAAATTTTCTTCATCAAGCGTGAAATATAGTACGAAACTGTTCCACTCCAATTTCCGTGAAATTTTGGAACTTTTTAGTGAGAATAACTTCGAGAAAAACCCCTCTTTGTAGTTGAATGTCTGCAAAGCAACTAGCAAAACCGAGGGCGCTGCAAGCTACAAGCGCCTAAGAAGGCGGGAAATTTGGCGCGAAACTCACACTCCCCTATGGCTTTTGATTGGACGTATAATTTTTCTCACACGTAAAAAGAAATATATGCAAAAAATTAAAATGAACATCTTTCCCTATTACTTATGGAATCCGGAATCCTGAGCTTGGGAATCCGGAATTCAGCTCAAGGAATCTGGAATCCCCCAAGCAACTGGAATTCGGAATAAAGTAATCGGGAATCAAGTACATGTAATTCGGAATCCCAACATGGAATCCACAACCCAAGACTGTCTTGGGTTACCTGTATGCATAAGGGCGAGTTCATTATGTTTAAGCTGTTCGTTTACTTATTGTAGAGAGAGATGCGTCCGATTACGCAGATGAGGTACGACATTGGCTAGACTTGATGAGAAGAGCAGGTATGAATGAAAAATAATGTACACATACCATGTATTCCCTACATATTTTTCCCAGACATAGGATGAATAATTGAAATGATGAGCTAAAATTTAGGGATGCTCTTTTTTTCTTTTTTTTCACGTTATTTTTCTTTCAATTCCTTTCCCATTGGTCTTTCTGTTACTCTGGATAATAGCAAAGACATAAAATGTGTTTCAAAAGTTTGTTGGAGACGTGTTAAATGGTGCTGATGACACAGTGAAATGAGACATTAAGAAAGAAGTCAATAACATAATTTTGTTTCATATGTGTTTCAGAAGACTACAGAACCGCAGGGACAGATGACAGCTCAAACAATGACCAAGATTACTTAACTAGTAGATATATCCAAGATTCAGGGTCTGATGAAGCGGAAAGTGACGAGGTTGATGAAGAGGAGAGCGGCGAGAGTGGTGATGATGGAGAAAGTGGTGACGATGGTGAGGAGGAAAGCGGCGATGATGGTGAAGAGGAAAGTGGTGACGCCGGTGATGATGGAGAAAGTGGTGAAGATGATGAGAAAGAAAGTGGCGATGATGGCGAAGAAGAAGGTGGTGACGATGGCGATGATGACGAAAATGATGTTGATGGTGAAGAGGAAAGTGGTGACGACGGTGATGATGGAGAAAGTGGCGAAGATGGTGAGGAGGAAAGTGGCGATGATGGTGAAGAGGAAAGTGGTGACGACGGTGATGACGGAGAAAGTGGTGAAGATGATGAGGAAGAAAGTGGTGATGATGGCGAAGAAGAAGGTGGTGACGATGGTGATGATGACGATAATGATGAAGATAGTGAAGAGGAAAGCGGTGACAACGGTGATGATGGAGAAAGTGGCGACGATGGTGAGGAGGAAAGTGGCGATGATGGTGAAGAAGAAGGTGGCGACGATGACTCACAACGACTAGCCTCTCACTTTTCACGCCTGTCAGATATTACTCGTAAGGGCAAGTTGTCTCCGAACATCGAGAAAACCTTGGAAGATGATATGATTGAAGCACTCCTGAAGGGATACGAGTGAGATCTACAAACAGATATATAGTATAATCGGCTATTTTATAGGGATTATGCTTTCATAAGTAGGACCTCAAATTTAAAAGTACTAGTTGATGGTCGAATAGAAGAGCACTTTGACCATTATCTTACAACGAACCTTAGAGCCGCAACGTTTCTATTCGTGTTTCATTTTGACTGTTGTTTCGCTTCTTTTTATTTTGGCTTTTTATTTGTTTGTTTTCTCTCAAGTGTGCTGCAAGCACAGGCTTCAATAGCGCGTGTACGATAACCTAATAAAACATATTTTCAAAAGTCTTTTAAGAGTGGTTGTCAGAGAAAACCGGGCAAAATGTTAAAAATGTCAACGGAAGGGGGGTCAACAGAATAAGATCATACTAAAATCATAGGTAGGTCTGGTGGGGTAATGGACAAATATACCAAACATAGGTTCTTCACTGCTCTTGTATTAGAGATACGAGCATCACTTTTTTCGACCCCCTCGGACACCATTTTTATAAGCAAATTTTCACCATTTTCTGAAACTCACAGAACCCTCCAAATTTAACGAGCGAAGTTTATTTTTTGTATGCGATACAACACATCACAGAACTACTTTCTAAAACCATAAGATTTGTTAAGTATCCACGGACAAGAATAAAATTTTCTTATTTTATCTGACCTTAACTGAGTGTCTGCAAACGAGCAAAAAATCGGGCATTTTTGAATTGATCTACAGCACACAACTAAAACGACAGAACAACTCTGACAGCCAAATTGCAGTCTACTATCATCCATGTAACCAAAACACTAATAATCATTTTGGGCCATTGAAACAGGAAGAAATTATAAAACTCACATTTTTTATAGTTTCCAAGCTTTTTCTTGTAAACAGGCCGATCCCTTCGTGTTTGTTTTTAGTCCTCTTCATGAATTTTCTTTCATATTTCGCTGTAAAGTATGTTCAGCAGCTGGAGAACATATCAAAAAGCTCGAAATAATGCCTAGGTTACATTTTCAAAGGGCAAAAAGTGTTGAACGATAGGATTAAACAAGAAAATAACAAAGCGACGCCATCTTGAAAATTCATCGCTCAGGAGGGACTGGCACTAGTAGCTGCGTTCGATATCTAATATAAGGACAAACATTGCAAATTTTCCACGTATCAATTGTCTCGTACACATAGCACATAGAAAACCAAACCAAACCTAATACAGAAGCACATAGAAAACCAAACCTAATACAGAAATGTAACCAGAAAGCTTCGGATTCATGTAAGAAGTTCCTTTATCGAAAGTTGGCTACTACGAACTATTACCAGGAGCCTATGGGCTCCTGTGATTACCAGTAAGATGAAAAACAAAAAACAAACAAACCAGCTTATCAGCGACCTACTCCAGTCTTATTTCTTCTTCAGTTACTTCTTTTAGATGATTTTAGCTTGTTTTTCTTTCAAAGGAAAAAACAAGAAGAACGCTTGATAGCAGGTTAATTGCTTCATTCCCTCCTCATTTCGAGGTGTCCCGTGAATGTACATAATATTAAGGATCTATTTGGTCTCTTTATGAATCACTTAACTTCGCTCTCATGGGAGCTAGCTAGACTTGCTATATATCAACCTCGCGAGTTTCTAAGCGTCTGGGCTAACTACGGGCAGTAGATATTGCTTGCTGTAAAATTTGCAATAATTTTGATCACCTAAAATAAACAGTTGAATCAGCGTGCGGAGCGGGCATTTTAGGCTGCAAAGCGGCCAAGAGAGCGGACGAAGTAATTTTTGAAAGCCGGGGGGGGGGGGGGGGGTATCACTTCGCATTTCCATAAGGTAATAGACTGTTGACAAGAGCTGTCAAAATAAACCATTCAAAGGGTTTACCAGATCTGGTTTACCGGAAGGATCCGGAAGGAGCTTTTCTTAAAAAGTACCATTACAGGGGTTCCTACGGCTCTCACTCCGTACCCCTTCCCCTGATTGTTCTTCCTGCTCACTTGTTTTTCAGTATGCTCTTTGCACGGTCCACACAAGCTAAACGCCACGGGTCCGGGCGAATTTTTTACCTGTGCAACCCGTTTAGAGGGAACGTGCAAATTCTCCATAGATTGCAATACTGTTTGCAGCTCTAAAACTTTACGGTTCCGCGGGTCGCATGTAAAGAAAAGGCGGATCCATGCAAGTTTTTGGCAGTGCAAAAATGTTTAAAAGGGGTCTGAGTGTTAATCGAGTTTTGACATCTCCTACACCTCTTCGTCACTGAATTTGTCAAAAACACTCTCACTAAGGCGTTTAACACAAGCAGAATCCATGTTCACAGTCCTCACATTTAGAGCAATTGTTACGGTCTTGCCTTAAATTCAGAGGAGGCACTGATGACAGAAACGGAATTTATTCATCTGCTACGGAGGCAATTTCCAACGCCATTTCGTTTCTTACACCTTTCCACGGCGCTGTTGCAAAAAATGCGCGCGCGAGTCACACAAGATGGCACAAAATGTGCTAAAAATAGTACATTTAATGGCTGATATATATTTCGATGAGGTCAGCCCCATCCCTGGAAAAGGTATCCAGCTACGGTCTACTACTCCGATTTATATATATATATGACTCCTGGTAGAGTATAAAAAAGTAGTTTTGTGCAATTTTGCAGCGTAATTAGCGTTGCTAGATAACTCTGTCCGCCATCAGAAGCTTGTAAACCACAATTAAAAAAAATGTATGAGTAAAGACTACTCATCAATATTAATAAAATTCTAGTATGAGCCATTAAAATTGTTGAATGACCTAATTCGCCTTAGACACTCGTGTCAGTAAAGTGTGAATCGGCGTCCGCCATTTCGAATTTTGTTCGAAAAAACCTCTGACCTAGCAGCCCGGCTGCATCTTGCGCCCATCATCTGCCCCTAACGGGTGGGAATCTGGCTCCTTTTTCATAGGAAATTCATAAATTGTCTACTAAAACACTGTGCAATATGGAAGCAAGGCCAATTTAAGCACTAAAAACTGCTCAAATATCACAGAATTAAAAGAAAACTAGTAAGAGAAATTGCTCAGAAATTACGCAAAAAGTTGCTTGAAACGAAAGAAGTTGCTGGAAATACTAAAAGTTGCCAAAAAGTTGGCGAGCAACTTGTGGAAAGCTCTAGGGAGAAGGGGGAAGGGGGGAGGGGTGGGAGTCAACTCAATAAAGCTTCTTCGGAGAGGCTTCGCCCCGAGGTCCAGTCCCTTACCCTTAAATATACTATTTTTGACAAAAGGTACCCCTTTCGTGTATCTTCCATTAAAAAGTTGTACCCTTTTCATATATCTGCTTCGTGAGAATAAATCGGTAGGAAAGGAGGTCTTCCGGTCATTTTCGAGTAACCTTAACATGTGAATGATATTTCCATAAGGCGTGTTTCTTCGAAGCATTTTAATAATAGGCTCTTTAAAATACTTAATGAAAGATTTTCCTCTCCTTTCACATACTTCAACTTTTGATTTCCTAGCTAGCCTTTGATACACCTGATGCTTGAAAGAGGTACCTTTCAGGTGAAGCCTTCCGGACTATGAAACTGTGCATCATGAAATCATGAACAGGAGATGAGTGCACCCTCGGACATGGACAGTGATTGAAGACTGACGCAAAAATAAATGATACAAAAAGGAGTCCAAAGAAACGCTAAGACTGATATGGGATAACTCAAAATGAAGTGAATGAAGAGCAAATGAAGACTGAATAAAGTAACGCCAATTGGTCACCTGTTCACCACACCCCATCAGTCCGCCGAAAAAAAAAAACGACAACAATCTAACTAAAAGTAGTAATTGAAGAAGACATAGGACTGTAATACGTCGCTGATAAGTCGGTTTGTTTGTTTTTGTTTTTTATCTGTTTGGTAATTCATCACTTGTGGACAAGGCAGCTACTAGTGCCAGTCCCTCCTGAGTGATGAATTTTCAAGATGGCGTCGCTTTGTTATTTTCTAGTTTAATCCTATCGTTCAACACTTTTTGCCCTTTGAATATGTAACCTAGGCAGTATTTCGAGCTTTTTGATATGTACTTCAGCTGCTAAAGATACTTTACAGCGACATATGAAAGAAAATTCACGAAGAGGACTAAAAACAAACACGAAGGGATCGGCCTGTTTACAAGAAAAAGCTTGGAAACTATAACAAATGTGAGTTTTCTAATTTCTTCCTGTATCAATGGCCCAAAATGATTATTAGAGTTTTGGTTACATGGATGATAGTAGACTGCAATTTGGCTGTCAGAGTTGTTCTGTCGTTTTAGTTGTGTGCTGTAGATCAATTCAAAAATGCCCGATTTTTTGCTCGTTTGCAGACACTCAGTTAAGGTCAGATAAAATAAGAAAATTTTATTCTTGTCCGTGGATACTTAACAAATCTTATGGTTTTAGAAAGTAGTTCTGTGATGTGTTGTATCGCATACAAAAAATAAACTTCGCTCTTTAAATTTGGAGGGTTCTGTGAGTTTCAGAAAATGGTGAAAATTTGCTTATAAAAATGGTGTCCGAGGGGGTCGAAAAAAGTGATGCTCGTATCTCTAATACAAGAGCAGTGAAGAACCTATGTTTGGTATATTTGTCCATTACTCCACCAGACCTATCTATGATGTTAGTATGAACTTATTCTGTTGACCCCCTTCCGTTGACATTTTTAACATTTTGCCCGGTTTTCTCTGACAACCACTCTTAAAATGTCAATTCCATTATCTTATGTCTGAAATTTAGTTAGGAACATTGTTCTCGTTAGTTTCCTTTGTGTCTGTAAAAGTTCTGGTAGCCATGCGGTTTACCGCCTTAACGCGCAGGTTTCTAAAGTGACACTGATAAGGAGAACGATAACAATAATTATAATGATAGTGATATTTTTCTGAGCGACGAGTCC